TATTCTTACCATTAATTATAGATAGAAATTTGTCCATCTTATAAGAGTATAATGTAATAGTATATATTGACTTCTAATAATAGACACTTGTTTTAAAACACACTAATTAAAAATAGTAATACAGATATTTATTTTGGAAATGATGAAATATAATACAATAGTTTTTACCAAACGACAATGGCTTTTTCATATATTATTTATGTTATAATATTTTATGTCTTTTAAAAACATATAATTATGGATTAACGTCCATCTTATCTAATTAATGAAGTCATGATAATATAACAAACGTTTTATCAAGGACATGCATGTCTATAATAAAATCCAATAGTGACTTCTTCCAAGCATACGATGATCAGAAAATGTTTAAACCAGATTTATATAATTGGATATTTTTAATAAAATTAACATGATAATGTAATTCAACCTCAAGTATTTAGGGGATGGTTTTTTTGTTAAACGTGGATTTTCATACAACTTACGAGCATTGATTAATCCCTGAACGACCATGAATGACATGGACGGTGATTTGATATGCACATCATTTGATTTATGTAAGTAAATGTGAAATTATATATTTTTTTTATAAATTTAATTATATGATTTTGAATTAATATTAAAGTAAACAAGAAAGTATACGTACAATCAAGGTCAACAGACACGAGCTCGATCAAGAAGGAGAGTCCCAGAAGATCAGTGACGCCATCAATAACGCCACCAACACCAACACCAGAGAGGGCGGAGCTTATGGTTGGTTGGATGGTGATGACACCCTTGACAGCAGTGGTCTTGGTAAAGATATCAATCAAGCTTATGGCTTTAATGCTACCAGCAGAGGTGGAACGAGTGCGAGCGGTGGTGGATTTCTTGGTGGTTGTGAGAAAAACCGGAGAGTAGGCGGCGGAGGAGGAATGATTGGTGGCATCGCCGCCAATGAAGGGCTTTTGGAGTGGAAGTAGGTTTTGAATAGAGTGAGACTGAGTGATCTGAGAATTCAACATGTTTTCTTCCTCTTCTTCACTCTTTAGTTGGTGTGAGTTAATGAATGAACCATATACCTCTATTTATACTACCAAGGGATCCACTTGCTTCTTATTTATTTTGAAAATAAAATGTTGGTTTTTACAAGTATTTTTGTTTTTTGCTATTAATTTTTGTTATGGGTAAGAGTTGTGTCACATTTAGTACATGACAAATGTCAACTTCAAAAATTTTAATCAAAAAGGAAATCATATATCATAACAAGTTGACAATTACAAAAAGTATCAATCTTTACAATAATATTGTCGGGGGATGTAAGTTCAAATCTTCAACACGAGATTGAATTGGTTTTCCTTACCTCAGGGTGTTTGTAAAAAAGGGTTACGGTTCAATTTCGATGTATACAATCATTAAGGTGGCGTTTGTTTTTTAAGAGGTGTTGAAGTCTGAAGTCTGAATTCACTTCTGATTTTTAAGAGGTTGTGCTGAAGTCTGAAATCTGAATCAGTCAGACTGTTTGTTTTTTGCGTCTGAAATCTGAAATTTGAAGATGAGAGATCGAGAATTGATATGGATCGACAGTTGAGAAATGAGAGATCGAGACAAAAGAGTTGATCTAGAGAAATCGAGCGCAAAGAGATCAGAGTAGGTAGGCAACGATTTGAAATAAGAGGTAATAAGATGTTTCGCAACCACTTAAATTTTCATACCTAATAAGAGCTTTTAAGCTCTTAATTGAAAAAAAAAACAAACACACTGAATCCTCTTATGTCTGACCGATTCAGACTTAAGATGACATTAAGAGTTTTTTTTATTAAAAACAAACAACCCCTAAATATACAATTTGGTTTTTTTCCTCCCAAAACCCTATATATGTTTTGTTTTGTTTTGTTTTCTTTACAGTCATTATGTTTCATTTATAAACCATGCAATTCTAACAAACTTTACAAACCAATTTTAGCCGTTCATCTAGTCTGAAAAATATCTGATTTTATTATGTTTCCTAATCTAAAGTCATGATCGTAATAAATGAACCTTATCATCTCAATCATAATTAATGAATCATGATAATTATCCATAAACATCTCAACTGTAATTTGTTAAAACTGCATAATTTGTATTTGAAACCATCCCCCTCTCTGTATGTATATGTAATATTTATGTCTGACATGTTAATGTTAACAAACTTTATCTCTTGTACGAGATTGGAATAATTCAAACTAGAAGACAAATGTATTACCTTAGGGTTTTTTATATAGAGTTAAACACAATTTTGGTCCCCATGGTTTACACAAGTTAACGAGTAAGGTCTCTCAAAAAAATTATTAATAAGAGGCGTCTTTATAGTTTCATTTTTATAACGGATATGGTCTCTCTTCTAACTCTTTTAGTTAAGTTTATGTTAGTGAGGGGCAAACTTGTTTATAATTTAATAAAATAATAATAACATTAATAATCTTCAACTGATTAATGCTAAATTATA